AGCCTCCCAAGTAGCTGGGACCACAGGCGCCCACCACAACACCTGGCTATTTTTTGGTTGCAGCCATCGTTGTTTGGCGGGCCCGGGCTGGGGATTTGAACCCGCCACCTTAGGTGTATGTGGCTGGCGCCTTAGCCACTTGAGCCACAGGTGCTGAGCCTGTTTAGAGCTTTTCTATAGCTTCTGAGAGATTTTTGTGTCACTAACAAGTTCTTAAAGTCCACATGTGTGTTATGAAGGCATAAATTTGGATACTTATTGGTATGTTTAGAAGATATCAAATGGAGTAAGTTCATCAGCGTGGTTTCTGGTTAGACCCAGAGATAGCCCATGACAGACTCCTAGGTGAGCCACGGGAGGAGCATTGATGGTCGTTATAGCAGCATTGCTCTCTGTAGGAACCCGAGGCACATCACCTTACCAGCATGATTTGTGTATTGAGACCAACACTAAGAGAAGCAGGCAGCTGGCAGAGAAAGGAAGAATGCCATGTTCTTCATCTTTGTCATATTTTTTGCTTGCCCATGGGTTGGTTGTATTTATTACAAATCATAGGACCAGACATAAGAGTTAACCCTTTGACCCTCACAACCACTCCTGGTCTCTCTCCTTTCAAGACTAAGTGCTGGTTTGAGCTTATGACCCACAAAATATTAGTATTTTGCACCATGGAGATAATAATTTATTTGTAGATCTTCTTCATGGGAATCTTCTTTTTCTTTACTAAAAATAACTGATTAGGAAAACATTGAGGTTTCTTTATTAAAAGTTTTAAGGAATTAAATGCGCTCTGTGTCCCCACCATTTTAAGATGTGGGTACTGGTGAAGATGGGGCTAAAAAAGTTGAATCGTGAGCTTTACCTGTAAAAACTCTACTTAGTAAAAAAATTAATGTAGGTATTTTTTCTACTACATTTTTAGGTCCATAAATTCTTTCTGGACTGTGTATGATATAAAAAGTTTTATTAACACGGGCGGCACCTAAGGCTCAAGGAGTAGGGCACCGGCCCATATACTGGGGGTGTTGGTAACTCCCTTGGCAGGTTGTAACCTAAGCTTGTTTCCAGTCACCCCTGGCCCTAACCTGCCTTTCCACCTCATGTCCTGAGCTCTGTGCCCTTGGTGTACCTTTGGCCCTTGACTGCTCTGAGCATGTCGTCGTCTGTAGGGAGCGATATCTGTGACATAATGATTCTCGTAAGGATCAAGAAAGGTATGACCTTGGCTTGAGACAGGCAAAAAGAATTCATGTCGTAAAATAATCAGGATCCCACGAGGGGATGAACAGAAAGGGCATCTGTGACAATAGACCTTTGTAAAGAGCCATCTGACATCCCAGAGCTGTGACATTTCTAAGGAGATGCAGAGTTACAGACCTGGAAGGACAGAGGGAGAGTCAGTGGGAACTGGGAATTAGCGTAACTCAGGGCTGAGAAACTAGGCAAGAAATATTTGTTATTTTTTAGATAAATAGAAAAGGAAGCTATCTTCTAGAGAAGTACATTGACAAGATTTATTGTCATTTCCTTCTAGAATACAGATCAGATTGTGTCAGTACTGTGTAGGGTTAAGAGCATTTGTTTTGGTGTCATTCTCCCTGGGTGTGAAACTGTGACTTTGGGAAAAGTTACTTCATCTTCCTGAACTCCATTTTATTTCTGTAAGATAGGGAGAATAATCGGAGAGATTAGACGCCTTAAATGGGCCCACGGATTAAAATCAAGGTGTCAGCAGGGCTGTGTTCCTTTTAGAGCAATGGTTCTCAACCTGTGGGTTGTGACCCCTTTGGAGGTGGAAGGACCCTTTCACAAAGGTCACCTAAGACCATCAGAAATGTGTTGGTCACCTAAGACCATCAGAACCGAGACACCACTCCTCTATGTGAAAATAATTTTATGGTTGGGGGTCACCACAACATGAGGAACTGTATTAAAGGGTTGCAGCATTAGGAAGGTTGAGAACCACTGTTCTGTTCTAGAGGCTCTGCAGAGAATCTGCTTCTTGTTTTTGGCAGCTTCTTTATCTGCCTGCATTCCATGGCTCATAGCCCCTTCCTCCCTACTCAGAGTAAGAAGTGTAGGATCTTCGTATCTCCCCCTGATTCGGTCCCCCTAATTCACATCCTTCTCTCACTTGCAGAGACCCTTGTGATTACATCAGGCCTACACCTGGTGATCTAGGCTACTCTCCTCATCTCAAGATCAATTGATTAGCTACCTTAACTCTATTTCCACCGTTAATTACCCCTTGCCATGCAGTGTAACATTCACAGGTGGGGCATTTCTGAGAGGGCTGTTGTTCTGCCTGCTTCCTTGGGGAAGCAGAACAGGTGAGTGAGTGATGGATGAATGCATGTAAACTCTCCAAGGGTGGGAGAGTATTGTGCTAGTCACAAAAGGCAGACGGAGCAGTAAATGTTTCTTGTCTCAAGGAGTTGATAATCAGTGGATTATCAGGGCTCTCCTTTTGGTTCTCAGATTGAACATCTCTGACTCTTGTGAGCTTTCCCTGACGTCCCAGATTGAGATCAGACCCCTCCTTAGGGATACATCATCACACTTGTGATGCTAGTTCAAGAATTGCCCCACCATTAGATTTTATAGGTAATGAGGGCAGCGAAACGTATCACTTTAATTTCTCAACAGGTAATATTGAGTAGAGTGCCTGACATAGGGCAGGTGTTTAAAAATTTGTTTAAAAAATGGATATACTTATGTAGGACACCTGTAAAAAAATTAAAAATAAAAAATGAATAGAAAAATAAACGAAGGAAAGAAAAACAAATTATCTACTCCATTCTTGCACTGGGGCTTTGTAACTTGGGCCCACATCATGCACAATTGAGAGGGCAACCAGGTATTTAACACCCCCACCTCCCCACTGGGGAGCAAAGAGCATTTATCAGATTCTCAGAGGAGCCCATAACCAAAAAGAGAAGCACTGCTCTGGGTGTGCGGAGTTCAGAGGAGATAATTCGGACATAAAACAGAGTAGAAGGGTAGGATGTTATCCTGGAAAAACTGACTTCTTTCTAAAGCTAACTGGGCCTTTTGTATCTTTCCCTCCACTGCTAGGAGAAGAGAGCGTGCTGCCTCTCTTGACACAGGACTCTAACTCCAAAGCGCGGAGGGGGATTTTAAGAAGAGCTGTCTTTTCTGAGGACCAGAGAAAGGCTCTGGAGAAGATGTTTCAGAAGCAGAAATACATCAGCAAAATAGACCGAAAGAAGCTTGCTGTCAGCTTGGGACTAAAGGAATCACAGGTATTAACGAGCGGGAAGATGTCTACTGTTCTAGATTTCTGAAGGAATACCATGGAATCCATTTATTGGACAAATGTCTCTTGTACTAGGCATGGTGCTGCACTTTGTGAAATGCCTTTCGTAATTTTATTTTATTTTTGTGGGTGGAAATATATGTCATAATTCCTATTCAGAAATAGGCCCATTTGCTGAGAGATCTAGGTTTTTGCCATTGGGCTGAGGGATTCTTTCTAAATGAAGAGAAATGCTAAGCATGTAGCATTTGCATTATAGATTGTTCACTCTGCGTTCAGAGAAACAGGGTAAATAATTCCTTACAAGAGCAGGGATCAGTTTTCCTGTCTTTCTCTTCATTTCCAATCCGAAATGAAAGCATGAATGAGTGACTCATGAATAGCTCTCAGTGGGTCTCATTATTTTGCACTTGGGGTTTATGTCAAGGACGGTTAAGACATTTCACATTTGCAGCACTTGCGTGCCTTTCTTGTGTATTGATGTTTTATGTAATTGTCAGTGAAACTTTCTGGCCTTTTGGAGCTACACAATATTTAATGATTGGCCTACTTATTTTGTAAATAATTAACACCATAAGGCACTAGCATTTTCCTATTTACTCTTCCTTATAATCACCATATGGAGTAAGCACTATCATCATCCTCATTTTCTAAATGAAAAAAAATGTAGAGAATTGAACACAGGTCCAATGTCATGCAGCAGAGCTATTCTGGAACTAGACTTTCATTCCAGGCAGCCTGAATCTGGGAGTGTGTTTTTCTTAACCTGGAGTCACCATGTATGGTTGTGCATGGTAATCATCGGGCAAGGGCATCTCACCCAGAGGGATGGTGGCAACTGAAAGGCGGCAGGAGCTCTGCTTGCCAAGCTGAGCCTTGTGGTGCAGTCCTACATCCACCTGGTTCTTGCTGAAATAACACACAGAGGCAACAGGGCTAACAGAGGCTTCTTTCCAACCACCATGCTCTACTATGATTCCTTACTGCAAATGACCTGGTGTTTAACACTGAACCTTATAAAACCAGTTATTATTGAATGCAACTCTCTTTAACTTTGCTTCCTTTCCCTGGGTAAATGATCTCTCTACAAAACCTCCATGCATATACCCCGGCTTTTTAGAGTGATGGACAGAAAAATGTGCTATAGTTGAGGGTACTTGGCCTAGGCCGGTCAGTGTGTGCTCTCCTTGCCATGAGGTACTAATGAATGTATGACCTTCATTGGTTGCTCTGTGCCTCAGTTTCTTACTGAAAAATAGGGATGAATATAGGAATTCTATCTATAATACAGAGCAATTTTATGACATACAGATCAGTGGCTGTATCTTGATGGTCTGTTGTGTGTAGGTAGACAGTAAAAGGGAATATTGATAAATATTGATCTGTACCTCAGGAACATCCTCACCCAGTAGAAACTTGTGAAAAGTGAGGTAACAACGTACAAGTTCTGACAATTAAGTTTGCAAACTTTTTCTAGAAAAAGTACTATGGACCTCATTGCTGAATATCACCATGGTCACCAGATGGCCAAGGGAAGGACTTCAAAGGCAGCTGTAGTACAATTCAGCAGTAAGGTCTGTAGCACTTTTTTCTGAGTTCATGGACTTTATAGTCAGGCCTCGTACAATGACAGCTCCAATGGCCATTCCAGAAAAAAGAATTCCACAATCACTTTGAAGGGTGGATTAGGGACTGGCGTAGCTGCCTAGCTTCCGAAGGTGAGTACCTCAAAGGTGACTGTGGTGCTACTCAACAATGAGGTCTGTAGCAATAGGGCATCAGTAATTCCCAAAGTTATGCACCTCTCTGGAACTTTATGCTAATCTCCATCTCTGGAAAGAGCAGCCTCAGACTAGACTTCCTCTGGCTGGGAAGTCTAGCGATAGAATGAGGCTGAGGACTGCATGGGGGCTCAGTAGGCCTGTCCTGTATCTGTCTCATTAGAATGAAGTCCCCATAGTCAGAGGGAGAAAATATGCAGGTTTGGAAGATTGGGGAGCCTCGGGTTGAGTTGGAACTTGATGTAGGTGTTAAAAGACGGAAGGTAGGTTGGTTCCATCTGACAGTGCTCTGAGAAATTGTAGAAACCTGTGATCATACGTATGTTTGTAAAAGAGAGACTTTGAAAAGAAAATGCAACAGCCATATTAAAAAAAAAAAAAAACATTTGTAGGGGGATGACCATAATTTCTAGTCCTATTCATATTCTGTCTTCTGATTCTCATCCATAGGTACATAGTTCTAAATCAGTGGGTCTCAACCTTCCTAATGCTGCGGCCCTTTAATACAGTTCCTGTGGGTCGTGACCCCTAGGTTGAGAGCTACTGTTCTAAATATTATTAATAAGCTTTATATTATTTTTAAAATTCATGGGGCTCAGAAAGAAATGTTTTTCTCATATCAAATTGGGTGAAACATCTTAGAAGCAATTTAAAATTTTTCTTTTTGCATATAGAGTGCCAAAAATGTACACACATTTTCTACATTTAATTTGTAATACTCAAGTCACATTTGGCTTCTGCAATCACAAGAGGTGCTTATCGTGACTCATATTCATCTCTCATTGTTAGTATATATTATTACAATTTTAATAGTTTTTCCCCCCTTTTAAAATATGCATACTTTTTTTGGTACCTTGTATATATCCATTACACAATTATACATGGTACTTATTATGGTAAATTCAGACAAAAGGGAAATTAGTAAAGTTAAAAATGAAAACTCATCTTATTCCTCTCCAGTTCAACTACATGATTTTATAAATGGCTTTCACTTGAATTTATTGACATATCATGTATAATTTAAAAAATAATTTTATCTGTGTCTCGCATATGCACAAATATAACACAAACTCTTGCACGCTTCCATGTGTTCTTATATTTGATCTTATTTAATCCTTACAAAGAGCCTAGGAAGTAGCTATCTCTATTACCCCTGTTGTATAAATGAAGATTCTGTATATATATTGTAAAATAAAACTGGGATCATGCTGTGCATACATTGTGACTTTGTCTGAAGAAGTGTACAAATCACCTGTGTAACTAGCTCACAAATCAAGCTGTAGAAGCCAGGACTCTCCACGCCCCCAAATATCCCTTCCGAAGGGTATCTACCATTCTGACCTCCACCAACATAGATTAGTTTTACTTAGTTTTGTACTTCATATAAAAAGCATTCAGAATCATTTATAAAAATAGACTCATGCTTTTGTATATGGCTTCTTTCACTTGACAGTATATTGGCGAGATTTTTATGTTGTCGTAAGTGGCAATAGCTCATTCATACTTAACTGCTGTGTGGTGTGACCATGACTTGGTGTACCATAATTTATCCATTTACTCATGGTAGACAGATGTATTGTCCCCAGTTTTTGGCTATTATGAATAAGGCTGCTGACAATATGTATTATTTTATGCTTTGAGTTTTTTTCCTTATCAAATGTGGGATGCATCCTTCTGTGTCAGTACATACAGATCTACTTTATCCCTCATCTACTTTATCCCTCATCTCATGTTTCCTAACAGACTGTTGTATAGATACACAATTTGTTTAGATATCCTCAACCTTAACTTATTTTTGTTTTTCACTACTGGGTATCTTTACACCTTTTAAAAATATTTTTGTAAGATAGGGAACTAGGCGTAGGATTGATGTATTAAAGTGTAGGTACTTTTAAAATTGTAATAAATTAAAGATTCCTTTCCAAATTCAGTATAGTAGCAAATGAGATACAAAATTATATTACATTTTCACTCATATTAAGAAATAAAACCTTTTTGCAAAGACTCTATCATTTATCATTTTTTTAAAAAAAAAATAGCCTCCCTACCCTGATGAACAATGGTGTTTGTTATTTTTTAATTTGAATTTATCTATCAGAACTAGAAGAGCTTTTAATTATTGTACTGGCTATTCGTGGTCTGTGAATTTGGCTTTTCATGGCTCATCATTTTTCCATCATATTTTCTTGTTCACATGTTGCGATTACTTTGTTAATCAAAAATTTTGGAATGTTATGGTTAGTAAGATTTTCCTATTACAGATGTTGCGGAAGTCCTCTCCGAGTTTGTGGACTCTTTTATTCTAGTAAAATATACATAACATAAAATTTAGCATTTTGACCTCTAAGTGTTCAGTTCCAGGCATTAAGTACACTCACAGTGTTAAGCAGCCATCACCACCATCCATCTCCAGCATATTTTTTTTTAATCTTGTGAAACTGAAATTCTGTATCCTCTAAACAGTGACTCCTCATTTCCCTCTACCCTCAGTCCCTGGAAACCACCATCCTGCTTGGTTTCAGTGAATGCCTCTTCTAAGGATCTCATAGGAGTGGAATCATATAGCATTTGTCTTTTGTGACTGACTGGCTTATTCCATCTGCATAATGTCATCAGGGTTCATCTCTGTGGTCAGAATTTCCTTCCTTTCTAAAGCTTTTGATATTGTACGTATAATACTGTATGTGCACACCACACTTTGTTTATCCATTCGTCTGTCCATGGACACGTGCCTGCTTCCACTTTTTTGATGATTGCGAGTAACACTGCTGTGCACATGAGTTACATGTCTTTTTAAGACTCTGCTTTTAATTCCTTTACGTAGTTTCTGGCTTTTTTTATATGTGTATGAAATGTTTATTTGTGCAGAAGTTTCTCATTTTTGTGTATTCAGCTACTGTCTATCTTTTCCTTTGTGGCTTCTTCTGTTTTATGTCATGTTAAGAAAACGTTCATCTCCCAAGACCGTAACGATAACCGATAATCTTACATTTTCTTCTAGAACTTTTATAGTTTTCTGTTTAGTGATTTTATCCATCTGTACTTTTTTTTTTTATTTTTGAGAGGTACAATAATGTATACATTTGTCCCAACACCATTGATTGTGAAGAAACTCAGTTTTGTTTTGTTTTTTTACATGGAGATATCACTTAACAAATAGTTCTAGAAATACAGAAAAGCTAAGGAACGAAGAAAATAATGAATGTGATGAGAAAGGAAAGAATCACTAGTGGGAACAAATAGCTATCTCAGTGAAAACCCATTAGAAGTACTTGGTGTGCTTTCTAAGAGTAAACGCCCACTGCAAATAATAAATGAGTTTATGAATAGAACCAAACGCGTTGGTACTGTTTTCTTATGAAAGGCCTTAATCACAGGATTGTAACAGAGATAGCGTCTTTTGCACTAAATCGCCTGGGGTAGATTTCCTTTTGCAGCCATTTTGAACATTGCCAGTCAAGTTGAAAGAATGAAGAAATTGTTTTACCCATCTGAAAAGACAATCTCAGAATATTTTCCTTTATTCAGAGAAATATTTGGTTGGTATACTTTAGTAATTATTTCTTCAGGTAAAACTTTTCCCCTTTTTTTGTTTTAAAAACAGAAATCTAATAAATTGTCAGTGTAAAGGTACAATGTAATACACAAGAAAAGAATGTGATTGGCTTTTGAGATATCGGGAAACTAATTGTGAAATTTTCTACTCAGACACAGCTGACTACACAGTGGATAAAGAGGAAAGTTAATAAAAAAGAGACTCGAGAAATGGCTCAAATTAGGAACCACCATCATAAGTGCTTTTGACTTACTTACAATTAATTGTTATTTATGGAGCATAATTCTTAGATTTTTGATGAATCCTGGGAGTAATCAAGACTTGGAAACTGTGTAAAGCCTGCAATTCATCAAAACATTATAAAACGTATTCTTCATTTAGTCTCAGAAAGCTCCCGATGAGGTCTGAACGTTAACAAGCGCCTGGGCACCGGAGTCAGATAGTCGTGGATTCCATTTTGCTGATTGTATGACCTTGAGTTGGTTAATCTTATCCAGACTTCAGGTTTTTTCACATGTGAAGTGAGGAGTTCTTAGAGCCATGGTGAGAATCACATTATAAATGCACCTTGTATGCATGGCCTGATGCCTGGCTCAGAGTAAACACTCAGATGCTGTCATGAGCCATTGCATTTCCTTTGAATAATTTAGCACATGCGAAGTGGTCTTTTAAAATATCTAAGAGCTAAATCAATTTTGGGAGATTCTAGATGTACAGGATGTAACCAGTTTACCTCAGTCTTTTTGTTTCAGACGTAGGTCTGGGGGTATCGTGTTGAAGTCATTCTTTAGCTATTTTTTAAAGGCATCTGAGTGAAAATCCACCAGGACTTTGCCAGGTTGGCTTTCAGACTGAGCTGTCTGGTGGAAGGGATAGTAGAAGCATTTACTGTTTAAAATGCTGAAGTGAAATGACTTGGAATAAGTGATCATTTTGTCCAATTATTTTGTCAATAGGTGAAAATTTGGTTTCAGAACAGAAGGATGAAATGGCGGAATTCCAAAGAAAAGGAGGTGCTTTCTAACAGGTGCCTGCAAGAAGTAGGCCTTCAAGAGGATCCCCTCTCACCGTCCGCCCTGGGTTTTCCTTCTTCATGTCCTTCAATGTGGGAAGTCTCCCAGCCACACTCAAGTCCTGGATGGAGGGAGAATTCTCCAGAACCTTCAGAAAGACTAATCCAGGAGCGTTCAGGGGCACCACTCCCAGAAGGAAAGTCAATGCAAGGTGCCTTGTATTTATGTTCTGGAGAGGAAGCTGGAAGCAAGGGTGTACTTACTGGGGTCATCTGAGCGGAAGAATTCTTTCATGCTCAGTTAAAAGAACACTAAACTAATAACATTTGGACTCTAAAGCCAGCTAGCAGGTACCTCACCAGTGCCTAAAACCTAACACCTTCACTAGCATGAACTAATGCTTTAGGAAATCCACTCATGTGGATTTAGCCCTAGACTCAGCTTAATTTGTAAGTGGATGCAACTGAAAAGACTCAGAGCAGCTGGCTCAGTCACTGCTCTGAGTATGTGTATATGTGCTTCTGTCTCCATGTCTGTATATAATATACATCGTCATTAAAATACATTCATTAGTAGAAACGTCGCATTGAGCAAATTCATTTGGAGAACAATAAACCATTGGTAGAACGTTATTAATTTTTGGAGAACAATGGAAAGTTAGAATTCAGTCCAAACTTTTATCCACAGAACATGTTTTAAAAAAAATTCTCTGTTTTCTGGGGTTTTTTTGGTATCCAGTTGTAAGTGAATTCTGACAGCTCAACTCAGCAGTTGTAATCACCCGAGCCACTATTAGATACATAACACTGAAAAGATAGATTAAAATAAACCCAAAGGCAAATTAGGCGAACTTCTGAATACAACTACTAAATATCTTCCTTTTCCAAATCTCTGGACTTTTTTTCAGGTCATGGGTGAGGGATGGAGGTTCTCATTGAAATAATAATTATTTTTGATCACTTCTTTGTAGGGATGGTTCTAGAACAGGGTTTGCAAAATAAAATACCTTTAAGGGCCTATATAGAGCAAATAGAAGGCATAACCCATCTAAAGATATTTGAGTTCAATAATCTTTCAAATACTATGTTGGCAAAACAAAATGTGTGCCAAGCGTTTTGTGAATTGTGGTCAGGAATAAAGAAAGCTGTGGTGTCACAGTTCTTAGAACATTCCTGATTGGACTGAACAACACAATACAGATAGCATCTGTGATGATTTCTGTTTGTGGTTCTGGTTATAGACTTGATTTTTCACTTAAGTGACATACACTATGTATGTTAGATTGTTTTTATGTATTAACAAATATCATATAGATGTTTTATGTTTTTTGACTACCCTCAATTAGTATTTTTATAAAACTGTATTTCTGGTAACGATTTACTTAGTTAATCCAGAAATTTTTACTCAAGGTCCAAGAAAAAATTGTTTCACTTTGAAGGAAATGAAGCAGAAACAGGAAATGATGTGGTTTTGAATTAAGCTGTTATTAATCTGTGGACAAGAAACATTATTAGACGTTTATTATGTGGCATTTTGATAGTGAGTGAGGAATGATGGTGACTTCTAATAGATATAACTTCTCAGCTATAGACTTTTGAGTGTTTAGTGGTGAGAAGAGGTAATATTCCAGAAGATAATGGTTTTAATCAACATCAGGAAATTATTTTTCATGAATGGAATTTGAACTGATGCATGTTAACCCGTGTCTTTATTACACAATCTTTTACTTATGTGTAAAAGTCATCTTAGAATTTTGTCTCAGCGCCTCATTGCAGGGAGTGGGGGCAGGGATCTCCTGACAGCAATTTAAATTTTAAAACCTGTCTTAAAATGATTTATAGTATGGTTTCTTTTCTTAATATAATGTTAACCTCATTTACATTTATAGGGGACTTTCCATGTGCTAGAGACTGTGCTAGGCATTTAGGGCGGGTTAATTCATTTAATCCTCACAGCAATGACCCTAGGATGTAAACCTTACCCAGACTGGGGAATTGAGGCAGAGTATGATTTGGGTAATTATCTAAGGTCACAAGGTTAATAAATGGGAATGAGACCCTGGCAGTCCAGTTTCAAGTCTTAACCAACCATATGGGATGCATACCAATGTGGAATGTATTTGCCCAGCAATGGGAAGCCTTGTTAAAGACACGTTTTGGGGATTTTAGTGAGATTTATTAAAGAAATTAAGAAGCACATTGTACTTTACAGTCTCTGACTTGGGGACTGATTTTTCTCTTTATTGTTCTCTTTTCTATTAGATTTTGAAGTTTAGGGAAAGTAAGTAATTGCCAAAGGCTTCAACTATGAAGCTTCTATGGAGAATAGTCCCATAGGAATGAGTATTTAAGTGTGAAATAGAAATGTTTTTTTTATTACTCACTGCTGAAAAACATAAAGTGCTTATCTCCGGCCAATGTCTCCTGAGAATAACTTGAAAATCAAATGAGAAAAACCTATGTCGTGGCCATCTGATTACCCGCATTGTAGAAATGGGCTAATTGGGTCTTAAATGATTTTTCCTTCAGGGTTTTACCTGGGTGCTTTCCAAAAGATTGGCCTGATATTTGAATATACAAATAAGTCTTTTAATTGTCTTCCAATTTGAAATGCCTTAAGGTTCAAGGGAGGCATGCTTGGATGGATACATTATTGGTACTTAGGAGACATAATTATATACACACAGTACAGACTTTCAAACCTATTGTGCTTTTTCTTTGCGCTCATTTGCCTGAATTGTTGGAGAGAATGGCCGAGCCCCAGGTCCTGTTGACAAGGTCTCCCTTCTCTCTTAACTTGTGCTCTGCCAACCAAGTGTAGTTATGTATTTTTTCTCTGTTATCTATAGAGTCCTCCAGGTAATTGCATATTAGTATATTTATTGTCTGCTTTCTAGATAAATACCCATCTAATAAGCACCATGGCCATAGAAGCCAGGAGGCTGAACATTTAAACAAAAAAATTAAAGAAATTGTCAAATGGATCTTAAGCAGATAAGAAGAAAAAAATGGGAGCATTATCTGCTAAACTTTTGTAAAATAAATATTTAGGGTCGGAATATGTGATGTAAACAAATTTGGGATGGTCACTGGCCCTGGAGACAATGAAGGCTAAGATTAGTAATGTTTAAAGGGCAGCTCTTTTCTTAGCAATAAAGGGGTTTGAGAGCCAGGCGTGGTGGTGCACACCAGTAATCTCAGCTACTGGGGAGGTTGAGGCAAGAGGATTGCTTGAGCCCAGGAGTTTGAGGCTGCTGTGATGGGCTACGATTGTGCCTGGGAACAAAGGGAAATACTGTCTCAAAAAAAAAAAAAAGTGGCTTGAATGGGATGAGGATTTAGTCCAGTGGTTCTCAAACTTATCCACACTTAACGAACATGCCATACCTTCGCACCAGCCTTGGGACGCTTTATACACCCTCCTTCAGCATCCATACCTCTCACCCCATCCCCCAACAATCATTAATACACATACTATTCCTTTTTCAAATACAAAGTCATGATGAAAATACACTTGTCCAAAGCACACACATTCTTTCTGGTGCCTTTCGCTCCCTTACCTGCTGCATCCCTTTAAAAGCTACATTACATACTCTTTGACGCGCTTAATGATGACCCACCCTGGGTAACAAAGGATTCCATCAGGTTCTACTGGGCTTTAATGCACAGAGGCTCGTTCCACTGTGTTCAAATCTTGTTAGATCCTCACTATCTTCAGCCATCTTTCTTTCCAGATTTCAAAACTTAGTGGGCACTATGTTTAAGCATTGTTCTGGCCTCCATATAAACAAATAATGAGGAAGAGATTGTCCTTGACCTCAGGGAGCTTAGAATCTAATCTAGCTTTCCTGCCAAATAACTTGTGAAATTTTCCATGCTGCCAGTGCCAGGATCTACTGACTTTGGGGCAAAAGCTCATCTTCTGACATCCTCTAAAAACCTCATCTCTCTCTTTGCAGTGGGAGGGTTCTTAAGTGCTCCACTATTCAGAAAAATACAAGTTCCCTAACATTTGCTGGTTTTTAACGCTGTCCCTCCTCCATTCAGGCCACAGGGGTCACAAGAGTCAGAAAGAGTCCAGGGAAGAATTCAGTGGCTTCCTTTTGTTTATAGTGTCCTGTATTTTTTTCTTTCTACCTTCTCAGCTTCAGATCAACCTGGGCAGAGAGAAAATAAAACAAATAATACAGCTCAGGAATGAGTGTCTTTGAATACACAGAGAAAATTTTGCAGAAATAGTTTAAATCTGAAATAAGCAACCACCCTAAGGACATAGTACTCGTCACACAAGGATGGCTTCTAGCTTAGAGCTATTGCTTGGGTTACATTATTATTTGGGTTGTAAAGAAACACGCTTGAAAATAGAACTAACAAAGTAAAATTCAGGCATAATCCCACCATCAGGAGGTAGCCAATTTAGCTCTTTTGTGAAAATTGTTAGTCATTTCTAAATGTATGTATATGTAAATATGTGTGTCTAAACAAATTTAGACCATAGTGTATATCTAGTTTTTGCTGCTTTTGTATTCAACTTTGTACACAGAACATTTTCATTAAAAATTACTTGAAACTATCATATAACGTCCCACTGTAGCTTCTTGACTTCTGGAGGTGGGCCAGGGCATGGGACCAAAGGATGACAGGGCTCAGAAGGAATGAGCACAGACTCCTATACCACCCGATGTATTGGATTTTTACCATTTAAAAAAATAATAATCTGATGTTTACTTTTCTTTTAACTGAATGGAGCCTCAACAAACATAAAGCCCTTGAATGACAATTGAGGAAGTTTGAAGTTCTATTTTTGATGGGGCTGAATGTCCAAGGAATAGCAAAGAAACCAAAGGGAGACTCTTTTGTGAAAAGCCACTAAAAGCTTATCAAGACATATTCCATTTATTCAAAATCCAAGGGAGCAAACAAACTTGGATTTCAGTCTACAGTCAGGAGCAAACATAAAAATACAGGGTAATATTCCACCTCCCTCCCTAACGCGTGCTCTGCTGTCAGATTGGTACATTACGCAGCTTTTTTGAGTTTGTATTATCCACAAAGTGGGCAAGAATCAAGAAAACTGATGGCAGTCTGACATTTGTCACCACTTTGAAGGCTGAGATGATAAGTCCAGTTGTGTGTTTAGAATCTGCTAGTTCTATGTTTTTATTTTTTTGAGGGTGTTATGAATCATTTTTACAATTTCAGAATATTATGGGGATACAATTGCTTTGGCTACGTGATTTACTTTTGTACAGTTTGAGTCAGTTGTAAGTGTGCCCA